ACAGCTGCCCACTGAGTCATCCTAGTGAGCGGAAATCGACTGAAGATAGAAAATTACCAACTCAGATGGAAGCTAAGTGATGTGGCCTGAGCTAGGCTGATACTTGCTGATCCTACCCAGACAGCCTGAGCCACAGATAATCATGCAGCATCTCCAAAAAAGGAGCACTTGTGGCCTGAGGTGAATGACTATGTATAAACACCATCTGCAAGGCAATGCTTTCTTCTGTTCACTTGGCAGAACGGGGGCAGGAGGGAAGGGGAAGTGGAAGCAATAAAATAAATGGCTAATTTTAGAATGACTGCTCTAAAACAGTCCAGTACAATTTCGTAACACAAAGGCAATGCAAGGCCCGCAGCACTGACTCACCAGGTTTAGGAAGTCACTGGACATCCTGGCTCCAACCACACCAAAAAGCAGCTTCCTAGAAAGGCAGCTACTCAACAAAAAAAAAAAACGTGTTTGAAAAGGAAAGAAGCAAACGAGAGACAGTTTGACCTCTAGTGCAACAGCCATGTTGACTCACAAATTCAAGTTAGGCAACATCAAACTAGAAATGAAACATTCATCCTCAGGACATGGATTCTAGTGGATACAGGATGGTCACCTCTGTTGTGTTTCTCTCAATAGTCTAGCTATACTTATACCTAGACAGTCATATTAGGCAATGATGCAGCCAGTATTCCTTGATAATTAAATGTAAATTTTGACAACTAGAAGATAAATTCTAACTTGAAAAAATCTATTATTTTCCATTCATTTTACACTTGGTCTACTTTGGCTTGCAATTTGTTGTAATTTGGTAGTGCTTTCACTGCACTGAATAGATCAATGTCAACCACTAATGAGTACAAGCCTCAAATATGATGTTGGTCAATTTTGAACTTCTGGTGACTTTGAGCTCAATGGGCTGATCCACAATTATCTGTTATTTTTGGAGCAGCAGTGCTGTACTCAGTCATGTAAATTACAAGATAGTTGCATGTGCGCCTTCTAAGAATATGTCTTGCAAATATTTGTTTACCCATGTTTTTAAATTCCTGGAGTTTGGAGTACAAAAAACCAAGATAGACTGTAAACGTATGTCACAGTCCTACAAGGCTCTTGATCCATTACACCTGGATTCTCCTCTTTGTTATTTGCTGTGCATTGAATCTTCTTCGTATTTCCATTACAACTATGGGGCAGAAGGAAAAGAGTTCTGCTTAATGAAGATCCAAATTGGCTTTTGAACAAATCCATTAAAGAAATGGACCACTTCAGCCCTCAAAATTTGCTGCAGATACCTCTGCACCCTATTAGTAAACCTCTAACTGAAAATAAAAGAAAAAAAGAATAAGATAATAGAGTCTGAGACCTGCTGCACACTGTCTGCCATGTAGTCAGGGACCACAGCCTGGAAATTCACTTATTCAGTGTAAATCCAGTTCAGTTATATTGACTTTTCTTTCCCTCATGGTATATTAGCGCTCATGAAAAATCTTGCAGTGAAAGCCCTAGAGAAGAAATCCTTTGTCCACAGACAAATGCACTTCCCATATCCTGCTCTTTTATAACAAGGCAACAGAGTTGGTCCTACTTCTACAGCAATCACAAGGCCAGGCACTCAGTGAAGACATAAATAACAAGGGCTTTGTCACAGACACTCCCCTAGCTCTAATTCAGTGCCATTTACACCCATTTATCCTCTCCTTCAAACATATGAGCAAGTATGGCCAGTCCTCAGAAAATTTGACTGTAATTCTAACATTCAGCTCCTACAAGCCACCAGTCCACCTCTCAGATCATTGCTAGATTTGAATTTACTCAAGCCAAATGTTTCTTTTGACAATCATTTACCAAGCCCAAAAGGTGGCATTTCCAAACAATTCAAACAACTCCATAGAAGGAAACAAAACAGGGCAGGATCAGAGAGGCTGTTATACGTTAACACAATAAATATGCTTAACCAAATCCTCAGCTGGTGTAAATCAACCTCTCTCCCTTTGGTTTTATGAGGGCAATGAAACCTGATGCTGAACATATAACACAAAAACTTAATTCAGATTAAACTACAGCATTTTAAATCTTAAGAGATTACTGACCCCATATCTGGCACCTATTTCAACTGATGGGCAAATTCTCCCCTGATAGGGAACAGTTAGGGACTGACCTGGGAATAGGGAACAGTTTCAGGGACAGTGCACGCTGGGATGGTCAGGTTCCTCTTTAACATTTCAAAACAGGGAGCCACAATGAAGCCCTCTCCCTTGCCCATCTCTCTGTGGGGTCCTGGAGATCGTTCCAAGAACAGGAGTAGCAGGAGTTATAGTAGCTCACTGCTGCCTGCATAAGGAAACCTGAAGCACCTGAGATGCATAGCATGCTTTGCGCTCTATAGCGAAGGACGGTGAGCCAAAGTTGAGCTCTCCTGTTACTAGACTATGTGTTTAAAAAAAAAAAAAAAGCACATTGACATATTAAATATTTTAAGTTTCCAAAGTGTAAAGAATTACAGCTGCACCTAGCCTGTAGAAACCCAAAGCCATAGCTTCAGGGCCTCTTTCAGCAGCCTAAGTCTGGTATTCGAACTATACAGATTCCCTTGAAGTACAAGAAGAACTACAAATGCCTGCGCAATCAGCTCAGCCATTCCTCTGAAGCAGCAAAACTGAGTACCAAACCATTCCTGTGACTGTGCACAATTCGTGGCAGTCTAGGAGAAAAACAGGAGTTCACAACAGCAGGAGTACTACAGATTCTGAAGGTCAAATGTTAAACATCCAAACGGCGTTTTTATTATTTATATCAGTAAGAGACAGGCTTGTCCTATTTCCCTCGGCCCAAAATATCTTCTTACATATTTATTACATTGATTTCTGAGTAGATTGTTACAAATGGCTGATTGTATCTGTTTCAGCAAGGAAGACAGAGAACGATTAGGAGTTCGATATTCCCTCTCACTCTACCTACTAGTAACGTCTTGAAGGCAAGGACCCTGCTGCCAAAATACAGGGCAGTCTCTTAATCTACCACCCTAAGAAAGGTGAGAGAAATGTTTCTGTGGGCAAAAATGTAAGAAGAAAAGTGACCCACATATTTGAAGACTGTTGAAGAAACTATCTAGGGGTGATCTCCAGTCTGTTGCCCTACATCTCAGCCTCTACCCACTGCCTTTCTTGTTACTGCTTTCCCCAAAACGCGCGCGCTTGCCTTCTTTATGTACCAGCTGTTCAGTGTCTGCTAGTCCCTATTGTACTGAATGCTGCATGCAAACCCCATCCAAAAAGCCTCCAAATATAAGCCTAAAACAAACAAAATTCAAAGCTCCATAAGAAGGGATGTCAGTGAACTGATGGAAACGTTTTGTGTGTGAAAAACGTCATCTGCTTAGTTCAACATTAGCCGTAAGAAATGCTGTGCTTACTCAAACATTGACTTTTCTGGCTCCCTCTTCAGAGGGCCTAGAAAGGTATTCTAATGCTTTACTTGGTCAGGCACGCAGAAAGGAAGGAGCAGCAGTAAAGAGAGTTGCCAGCTGCATCCCTTGCTTCAGGAAGCTCAGAAAACCTTTGAGTTCACCAAGCCTGCAACAGCTCTGGGATTTACAGCCCTTCAATGCATGCAGATGCTCTTTTCTTACGGGATGGCCTTTGATGATGGTAACACTTAAAGGACAAGGAGATTTTGACTGACACATCACAAACCCCAGAAAAAATAATTAAATGCCCCATCTCTTTTCCTCCCCATCATCTCTTCTTTGAGCATCTGCAAAGCTTCTTTAAATTTAACCTTCTAAAGCTAGTATTTTTCCTGTGCAGCACTTGATTGTTCCTCTTCAGGGCTTTTTCCATGCACTTTCCATGTAAGCAATGCTAACACCTCTAACAGTCAATAAAAACCACTACATAGTATGATAAACTCATGTTCTCAACCATGTATGGAATTCAAATTGAATTAGAAAGTCAGCCTACGTTCATAAGAACAACACTATTGAGTAAACTGAGCTTGGTACACTGTGTAACAGATATCACATACTTTGGGTAGTTGTCAGTTCTTCAGAACTCAGACCTCATTTGCACACTATATAGTGATTCTCTTCATAATCAAATAGTATTTAAAACATTTACTGCCCTGTTAAATCTAACAAGTCAGATTTATTGGGATAGTCACTTTCCTTAATAGCCAATTTAGTAAAACTCAACGTATTCATTGATGCATAAATATATAATAGGCAGTTGTTAAACCTTACTAAATATGTCTAATAGTCAGCTGGCATTTTCTCTCAATGGCAGCACTTCCTCTCAGATGCCAACAGGAAATGCTGTTCCTCAATGTGCCAATTCAACCCACACGTATGGAATAAACTGATCTAGAGGAGCAAATGAGGGCATGAAATTCAGATACCTTCCTGCATGGGGTGTCACAAGAAGAACTCCAGCTCAGATTACAGCTGGCTCCCATCAATGCCATCAGGTGTCAAAGAGCACGTAGCAGAAGGAAGTGTGAGAGCTACTGTGTCTGTCTGGACTTCATACAAGTAATGAACCGGGACAGAAAGGCCATTTGACTAGCTGAAAGCGATATAAATGATATTCTTAAAGTTATTAGTGCAACTTACTGTCTTACTGCACTCACTGCTTCATGTATACCATATTGCATTCTCTCCCCTACCCTGCATGTTGATTATGATGCCTCGTCTTCTAGATAGGAAACCTAAAAAAATATTCCTTTAAGGCTTTTAGGCACCTAAAGATACAAAAAATACTTAGGAGTCTGCATCATTCAACAACTGAAAACCTTTAAAAATCAGGCTCTCAACTCAAACTGTAGAACTTTATGGCTCAACTCCTGGTCCTAGGATCGGTTTTTGAAGTTGAAGGCAACTAGTGCACTGACACGAAAAGAAACCAGACCAAACCACCCTTAAGGTGAGAGAGACTGTATTTATGCTGCAGGCTGGGAAGTTTGTTCCCAGACAAACTGGGAACAAGTTCTTGTTTGTTCTATAAGACACTCACCTGGGTGGGATTATACAGCTCCTGGAGTGGGCTTCTGGATCCCTTCCGACAGCAAATGTCCATCCCAAATGGATTTCTACGCATTACTGCAGGGGGAAATTAAAATTAATACAAGTTAGCAACATTTGCTAGATATAACCAACTACGGTATCTAAAGCAAGAACAGACTTCCTAACAAATCAGAGGATTCTAGAGACAGCATTTTCTCTCAAACTCCTATTTTTACTTTTCTAGACAAAGGATCTGAGAGCTAAACTCTTGATCTACCCTGAAAATTGCTAAAATGAAACTTTCCTTTGGATCCCCTCTTATAAAAGCTGTCAGCCTACAACTTCCAACTCGGATGCCCAAAAATTCAAGCATAGGTACCAAAGCCAAAGTGACCTGATTTTCAGTACCGCTAAGTTCCTCCATCCCTGATTGTCATGAGAGTCTGATGAATTCCTACGATCAGCAATTCTAGGAGGCTACCTGAGTCCCTCTGAATCGAAATACCAATGTAACACAGGATCCTAATATTAAGATACCTAAATTTAAGTCTTTCGACCCACAGCTCCAGTTTCTCCTAGAACAAACGCTCAGCAGTACACAACGCAAATACAAATCAACCATCGCTGCGCTTTCTTGCTCCAAACAATATTTTGTTCTACATATTGCAACTGAATATTTGACGGATCTAAAAACCAAGAGACACTCTGTTAGCCAGGTGGACAAAAGCAGGTGTTCAAACTAGAGGCTTTGTCGAAGGACAAATCAAGAAACATTTTGAATTGAGAGAGCTGCCAGGAAAGATCTTGATCTGAGCTCTGGCAGGCACAGAGTCCATTGGTTTCAGGTTAGACCTTTTATGTCCAGAAAAGTCCAAAATGAGAAATCTAAATCAGAAGCTGAATAGCTCTAATCACCCTCTACAGTCACAAGTGCTTGCTTGTCTTTCTGGTTTCAAGTGGCCCGCACCACCCTCTGGAAATCACCCTCTTCCCCTGCTTGCTCTACCAACCAGAGAGAGTGCCAGGCAATCAGACTGCCAAGGTAGACATCTCAGCGAGGGGAAATTCATCTTGTCAAGGTAAAATTAAGTTGCGACCAAGAGAAAAGAGGAGATTTATCCTAGTGAGAATCCAAAGGCATTAAGCAGAGTCAGGCACACTTTTATTAGAGGCTGCCACGCTCTGCAATAAGAAACTACTGAAGTGTCCTATAGTAATGGTTCCAAACCACACCACTTGCAGTAATGATATTGTAGGCTTCAGGCCAATAATGAAAGAATATAGTCATGTAATTTTTAATACAGAGGGCTAGTATTTAATATACAACCATAATTGATATGTCAAGCAGTACGAACAGTATAAAGTCTCTGCAGAGTTAGGATATTGTGTACAACTTCAATCTGGAAACATAATAGATTCCTTAACTCAATTCATATTTATTTTTAAATTAGAAAGCAATTATCTAAGAAGACGCCATGTTGCTTTTCCTCTGAGCAAAAGAAAAATAAGACACCATAGGTTTTGTAATAGGACTCAGATGTATAAGGCCTGGTAAACAAACGGGCTAAATATTTTGACTTTCTTCACCACTAAAATAGTGGATGTTCTTACAGACTATAGTTTTAATTTACATATTTGATTACCTGATTAACTTCTGAGCACTTTTAGCCACTCAGCCAAGTATTGTGACAGTTTAGTTTTTGTGCTAATGTGCCTTTTCTAAAGTTAACTTAAAAACCATGTGAAACGGTTAAAACTTTAATAACATTTTGGCATGCACTAAAGAGGGGATGTGAGACATCCAGCTGCTGTTCTAACTACAGAGCTCCTGCCCCACTGCACTCTTGTGCTAGGCACGGTGTTCAGGGCCGCTTTGCGAATCCTTTTGTAGCTCCTTCACTGATACAAGAACCCTTTCCGAAACAGAGCCTTCAACTGGACCATAAAACACACCAGCATACAATCCCTTTAACTTCCACCATTTCTATTTAAAATACCAAAGTAGGAGAAAAGAGAGAGGGGAATGTTTCAGCGTATCCAGGTCATTACATTTTGATTAACCGGTATTTTGGAACAATGATTCTTTGTTCCAAAATGAACAAGAATAATTCTAGCGTGTTGTTCCCTAATTCACTGCTTCACTTCTACTTTCCATTAAATACAGTAAACAGTAACATGCATCCTGCTTCACTTTACCGGCAGGTATCAACACAGCAACATTTTTATGTCTGTTACAGCCACATACAAAGCTTAAATTATTTGCACATTATGCAAGATTTGATTCCCAGATGTAAACAAACAAAGAAAAAAGGCAACTATCCCTCACAAAAGCTAAATGATAATGCAGGAGCTTAGTCATAGAAACCATTCAATCTTTATTTTATGATGCCCCATACTATTTAATTGGCTTATTTTTCCATTAAAGCCTTTAAAACAAGACTGTGGAGTTAGCATAGCAACATAACAGCTTAACATAGCGCTTGGCTCCCTGTTTATCAGTGTCAGTAACAGCGCACCCTGATGCAGATTAATATATCATCTTTGTGCACACCTGGAAAATACCTGTCCTTGGGATTTCACTGCCACATTGGAATAAAAGGGAACACTCCCCTTCCAAAGCAGAAATCCCACTCACATCTTTTGCAGAATTGTCCGCAGGCAAATAGCTCTCAGGAACGTTCATGTACGGTTGAGAACACTTTTTGGCATGCTTGTGGACAAATTCACCTCTGAGGCTTCCTGCACCCCGTTTTCTACTCTCAGCTTCTCCGAAGCAGCGTTTTATGATGCGAGTGAAGTGACCTCTTTGGCCTGAATCTCATCTATAGCAATCTGTGGTAAGAAAGCCATAATATGGATGCTAACTGCAGTTATACTGATTTTAATAACACTTTCACTAAGGCTCCTTCGCATCATTGTGATACCAAAAATGAAAAATCAAGCTCTTTATCTTCACTGAATCTTCTTATTAACATAGTAAATACCTAAATTTACATTTTATGGCTTGAGCTGATCTCCGTACATAATTATAGTTAATTATAATCTAATGGTAAGTACTGCATATGCATGGCTCCATGGACTGATTAAAAGATCACGTTAATGCACAATAAATGTGTGAGGAGCTGAAAACAGAAGATAGTGCCTCAAATGGTTGAAGAATAGTGTTAATACTGCAATTGCAGGAAAAAAATCACCATCCAGTTAATTTAGCCAGGACTGCGAGCAACTGAATGAACTCTTAGTCAGTTACTCAAATACAAGCGCTGTATGAGCATGACCTTTCTTCCATCTTCAGGTATGATTTGTCCAAAACGCAATGGGGGCCCATCTTGTTAAAATCTGTGCAATCACTATTAATTAATGTAACAGCAGCTCTGGAGAGGATGTCAGCTAGGCACTAAATTTAATTTTCTCAAGAAAAATAGATAAAATGTTAATTCAGTAGGACTGTTTATCAACAGAATAATTTTATACATACATATATATATATATAATATATATATAGAGAGAGACTGCATGTGCAGGCCTTAAATCATTTCAGAAGAGAAGCATGCACGTACAGCTTTTAGAACATTGTATTTAGACCCACTAGTCTAAATATCGAGCAGCAATTTAACCTGTGAGTCACATTGCACATAGCACATGAACACAGTGCTCCTCAGTCGAGCCCTCTTCTAGTATCTGTGCAGAAAAAAGTCCAGAGGTTTTGCCACCATCTTGATCCATTAGATGACTATCAATCAAAATGCAGATCTCCCAAATTTAAAACTTCCTTTGGAAAAGCATAGTTTGAGAGCATACTGAGAGTTTTCAGATGCCATGAGTCACCATCCAGGCCAGTCAGCCTTTGAACCTCCACCTCTGACCATGGTCCAACCACCAATGCCTTTGCAAGCCGCTCCTCTCCAGGTCCTGATTCTCGGGCAGCAGAGGCCGGGAAAGCAGGGTTACAAGTGACACAGTGCACACAACAAGGCCCTTACTAAGATCTTGACATCTACTAGAGGTTAGGGATGCCTTCTTTTTCCATGTGTCGTGATTTGCAACATTTCAGAGGTTGAAGATCATTCACATGGAAACATGTGAACTAGGCTTAAACTGTCACCTCTCCTTGGCAGAGCCAAGGCACTTGGAAGAAGGTATTTTATAATTCACTAGGTGCTCTAAAAAGACCCTGTCCAAGAACGCGAGGCCCTTGGTATTTTGACAGAAAGAACAACGTCAGGAGAAAGTATTAAAAATAAGAGGCCACAGAAGTCTAAGTTCTGCCTCTCCCTATCAGGGGTTACAGAGAAGTTGAGAAAGGGGACGTAGCAACAATGTTTTAGGCAGTGTTCATGCTCAAAAGGAATGGGGACACTGGAACCATCCAGAGGGAAGAAAAACATGGAAAAAAATCATAGCAAACGACACTCTTGGAGACTTACAAATCAAAAAGGCCAATTTCTCACAAAGCACCAGAAGGGCAAGTGAAAACAATCCTTGTAAGCCTGGGTTGGATCAAGTAACAAAGGAGACTCTGCAGAAGAGAGCCACACAAAATAACTGTCACTTCTTTCATTGCAGTTACAGAAGCGAACAAGTGACAACTGAAATGCTGAGTGCACGTGTTCAGCAGCCAACTGTATCACTACCATCCTGCAATCCAGTAAACGTCAGATGCTTCCATTTCTGAGACGTCTGTAGAAGAAAAGTTCCCTGATTGCTATACAGCAACGGTTTTCCTACTCAGTAATGTTTAATTTACACAGTTTATACTATTCTAATTACTTCCGATCTGCAGGGCAAGAAAAAAAAAATTCAAAAACTTTTCTCTCTATTCACTGCTTCTTAATATTGAAGAAAAGGTCTGAGGAAAATTAATAATTAATTTTTCATTACATTGGTCCAAATTACAAAGATAAAATTCCCCAGTACAGCATTGCTTAAAACTGATATACATAATTCATTCTATTTGTACGTATATATATATATATATAAATATATACACACACACTTCAGATATTTATTTTTTGAACTGAATTCTCTATGAAAGGCTGAAAATTGATAGCAGTCTGCTTGTTTCTTTTGAGCTGAAGTACACTCTTTTGCCAG